CACAAAGTGATGTGGAGCAGAACCATGTAATTACAGGTTTTTATTCAGTATGTGGATTTAGACAAGTGATAGGGGCTATTGATTGCACACATATTCGAGTCCCGAAAGTCGGTGGAAATATCGGACAATACTACATAAACAGGAAAGGATACGTTTTAATAAATGTACAAGTAAGTTTTATAGCACCTATCTACCCCATGTTTGCCATATAGTTACCTAGTTATATCTTAGACAGATTCATTATAATCTTCTTAATCTATTATTTCATATTAAGGCGCAGGTTGAGCAAAATGTCGCGCTAGTCGTTATTTGTGCTGTTTTTAAGAGCTATCTACTTTTTATTTAAAAGATATATCAACAAATAAAAAACACATTATATTTCTACATAATCTTGATTTCATAAAAGCTATATCCAATTTTTTTTTAAAGGAATAAATATTAATATAATCTCTTTACAACGAAACCACATAAATGTGAAATTATTATTGATAACATGCATCTCCTCGTAAAGTAAGTATTATTTTATTTTGCGATTTACACCAATGGATAGGAAATTTATTAATGAACATTTCTATAGTAAATTTTTTTTCAAAAGACCTAAATTTGATTTAGAATTTATTTTAAAATCTGGGCATATTCACTGCTCACGGGCTTGCTGAAGTCAGTGAGCCCTGAGCTCTTCGACGTGAAGCCCGTGTCGTTAGAGCGTCGATCAGCACATACACTCATGTCATATCAGTCTAGAATTCTATTACTTATTAGGTTATTTATAGGTAGTATTATTTGTTTGTTTTGGGTATAATTTTTCGTATGACTCATACATAATTATGTTTGTTGTATTTTTTACTGCGCGATGAAGCTTTTTGCGTGTATTTTCTTTGAAGTAAATGCAAATAAAAAAATGAAGCACCATTAGCATGTAAGGTTCGAATCCATAATTAAAATTTCGACAAATATTATAATTTACACTATAAAAGGCTAATTGAATATTATCACCCAACCACAATATCTTATTAAGTATAGTACTGCCTCGTTGGTCTAGTGGTTGTAGTAGTGCGACTTCTGATCATGAGGTCCCGGGTTCGAATCCTGGGTCGGGCCAAAAAGTCAGTTATGAGTTTTTCATTTATGTTCTAAGTTATAATTAGTATTACTAAGTTATAGTTTTTTTGATAAAATATAGTATATTATTTATTGCTTGTTTTTTCTTCTTTTTCAAAAAATAATTGAGTACATAAGGTGTTCTATACTTATAATTCGGTAAAAAGTATCTAAGTAGGTACTAATATACCTACTTTTTACTATTAACTAAAAAAAATTAAAACTAAATTTAACTAAAAAGACTAAACTGACCATTTATTTTTTAACTCAAAACAGGACATGGGTTTATTTATACTCTAAAAACTATAACTTTATACAATTAGTGTTCACTGTAAAATTATATTCGGTATAGACGGTAATTATTAAATGCAACATATTTTTTTTAATTATTAATTACATTTGTAAGTGAATTAAATTTGCTTTAATAAAGTTGGTGATGATTTTAAATAAAAATAAAATTCTGCTCAAGTTTTTTTTTTGTTATCTTTGTTAACAACATCGCCTTTAGAACTCTGGAACCGTAAGTGTTTCTTTCAGACGTCCACAATTTATTCAAAATAAAAAAATACTCTTTCTACCGGAGCATTCGTACCAGGTAGACATAATATATATTCGATTAAAAAAAATTATGTTGAAGATTGTTGACTTTGAATACTTCCATCCAACTAGTTACGGACAATTTTGTGTCCCGGAGCTTTGTTTGGGGACAATGGGACAGGTGACCGAGAAAAGGGACAGTCCCGTTCAAAACGGGACGTATGGTCACTTTAGCTATAACCTGGCGACGGCTCGAATCTCGCACGGAACAAGTATTTGTATGGCCTACAAATAATTGTTCCGGGTCTGGATGTTTGTCCTTGTGCAAGTTATGTTTGTAAACTGCCTCCACGACACAGGAGAAAATCCTAGTGTGGGGGTAACGTTTTTTTACAATTGAAATTGAAAGATTGAACCCTTATACTTCTTGTTGATTTTTGTATTACCTTTATGAAAGTTACCCTTATGTATAAATAAATATAATTACGTATGTAGAAATAAAATTGATCAATCATTGGGGCGAGGATAATGTCTGCCAGCAAAGTAATAACCAGGCTAAGTTACAAGGTGCTCAGTTCAAAAATTTGTAGGTAGGATATGTTACTTTTCAATACGTGACACGCAAAAATTAACAATAATCAAAAACACATCTACGAAACATCCTATTTATTTATTTATTCTTTATTGCACCAAATATTTGTACAAAAGCCGAGCTATCTATTTATTTACCTATAGTGAATAGGTATCTTTTAAACTGACAATTTTCAATGCTTCATTTTTAATATATAATTAAATATAAAATTTGATAATTAGATAATATATGAAAATACATAATTCTAATATAATGCAACTAATATACCGAATAAAAAAATTAAAATACATTTATCGTTGTACGCTGTGTGTATTTCCATAAATTAGTTTGTTGATGTTGAAAAAATAATACTACATAATAGGTGGCGTCTTAAATAAGCAATATATTGAAGCGAGCGAGCGGCGTGTCGCCGGCAAATGCTCAAGGTCGTTCGCATGGAGTAGCCCCTTAACAAAGCTATAAGTACTTTGTTCCAGATTGTGTCAAATGCTAATTTAGAGATCATGGATATATTGGCACATTGGCGAGGCAGCGCACATGACTCAAGAATATTTAATGAAAGTCGCATAAAACAAAGGTTTGAGCAGTCATAATTTAAAGGCAGGCTTCTCGGAGATTTTGGTTATGCTTGTGTACTCCTTATTTATTCACTCCTATCCTGCGTCCCAATACACAAAAGGAAGAAATGTACAACCGGTCGCACATCAGGACCCAAAACACTGTAGAACGATGCTTTGGAGTGTGGAAGCAAAGATTTCGGTGTTTACAACTAGGAATTAATACAAAATTAGTAAATACAAAACTATATATTGTTGCATTGGCAATACTGCACAACATTGCAATGCAGAAGCAAGATCGGCTTGAGGATACAGTAGAAGATGATGGAAATGTTCCAGTACTGGCAGCATTTATTAAATGAAAATTTTTTAAATAAATAATACAATATTAATATCTACAAAATCAAAATAAAAATAATTCACCGTCAAAAGCTATGTATGTTTATTTAACTTTTTTTTTTATTAAAGAGGGGGCAAACGAGCATGCGGCTCACCTGATGGTAAGTGACTACCGCCGCCCATGAACAACCGCAACACCAGGGGAATTGCAGATGCGTTGCCGGCCTTTTAAAAAGGAGTAGGCTCTTTTCTTGAAGGTCCCTAAGTCGTATCGGTCCGGAAAAATCGCTGATGGTAATTGATTCCACAAAGAAGTCGTGCGAGGAAGAAAACATCTTCTAAATCGCACAGTGGTGGACCGCCAATCATCCAGATGGTGTGGATGGTATCAGGAGTTCTGCCGCGATGTGCGTTCATGAAATTTGGCGGCTGGGATTAATCCGAACAATTCCTCAGATCACTCCCCATGGTAGATGCGAAAGAAAATGCAAAGAGATGCAACATCTCTTCGCAGTGCCAATGAATCGAGCCGATCAGAAAGAGCTCGGTCGTGGACGATTCGAGCCGCTCTGCGCTGGATGCGGTCAAGTGGAAGGAGCTGGCACTGGGGAGCCCCTGCCCAGAGATAGGAACAGTATTCCATGTGAGGCCGAACCTGCGCCTTGTAAAGTTGCAGGCGGTGTGCCGGCATGAAATACTGTCCCGCTCTGCTGAGCACGCCAAGCTTTTTAGAGGCCAATTTGGCCTTCTCTTCCAAGTGACTACGAAACTGCACGTCACTCGATATGTCGACTCCGAGGATACCGATACTGGCTGAGGCAAGAAGGGGAGTGCCTTGAAACTGAGGAGATACGACAAAGGGGTTCTTTTTAGCGGTAAACGCGCAAACTTGTGTCTTCTGAGGATTCAACTGGACTAGATTTAGTCGTCCCCAATCCGAGACATTGTCCAGCAAAGACTCGACTTCAAACACAAGTTTGTTCCGGTACTCGGCGACGTTTTCCCGAGAAATCTTGGCCCGGCCGGTGTATAGAGCATCAACAGTGCTGTCGTCCGCATAGCAATGAATGTTACCAGTTAGCAACATATCATTGATATGCAGAAGAAACAGCGTTGGTGATAGCACACAGCCTTGTGGAACACCAGCGTTAATAGGCTTGTAGTCGGAGCATGCACCGTCTACAACGACCTTGATGCTCCGATCTGCAAGGAAGCTGGTGATCCAATTGCACAATTTCTCGGGAAGCCCATAGGAAGGGAGCTTCGAAAAAAGCGCTTTGTGCCAAACCCGATCGAAGGCCTTCGCAATGTCCAGACTAACGGCCAACGCCTCCCCCTTGGACTCTACTGCCTCCGCCCATCTATGGGTCAGGTAGACCAGAAGATCACCAGCTGATCAACCCCGACGAAAACCGTATTGGCGGTCACTAATCAGCTGGTGATCCTCAAGGTACCGGATGAGCTGGCAGTTAATAAAGCTATGTAATATAAAAAAATTTGAGTGCTTTATTAAAACAAGTTTGTATAAAAAGGGTTATTATAATATTAAAGAATTTATGGATCATAATAACCCCTGGAAATGAGGTGATTGCTACCAAGCTATTTCTAATTTGTTGTGTTGTTAATTTGTGTAACATACATGATTGTAGCTGTTATTTAAAAAAAAGTCCCGCTGGGTTTCTTGCTGGTTCTTCCCAGGTCAGAGGTTTTTTTTTCGAACCAGTAGTAATTAAACAAAAGAGTGACTTTCATTAAGTATTATTTATAATCTATATTGAATAAAAAAGTTTCTGTTTCTGTTTTATTTTTAAGGATTTATATACATATTTTTTCTTCTTTATATTAATATTGCTCTGCACACACTTTTCTTATTTCTAAAATATCTCTTTCGAGTATTGCACATTTTTGTTATTATTTATGTATTTCCATTTTAATTGCACGTTCTCCCATTTTAATTGCATTTTCCTCTTCAGCCATTTCCAAACGTCTCTTTGTTCTTCCTCTTTCAACATTTTGCTATGGCTTATCATGTTGTTTATATAGTCATCATGGTTCTGTAAATGAAAACCAGTTCTTAAAAAATATTACTGTTGATAAACATAACATATACTACGGTGGTAGAGCCAAGCAGCAGTTTTTGCTGTTGCACGTATGGGCCGGCTCGAGCCGGGTTGGTACCACGACCTCACAGAATACCGGCGTGAAGTAGAAGCTCTGCTTCTGTGTTTCGTCTGGTGAGTGCAGGTGGCCGGAGGCCCAATTACCCCCCCCCCCCTCGTCAACATGGTAGTGGAATTAAATAAAAGACTACCCCAGGACGGTACCAGCACCCCTGGAGAATCCCTCGCTGAGCATGCACGACCAAACTACTTCACTCCTGAGCGTGGGTGCTCATGCTGCCCCGCGTATTCTGGGGGGGGGCAAAATTCCGCTCAAAAACATAACTGCTCGGGGCAAACTAAGCAACAATACCTAGGCGACCCCTGCCACGCTATCCGTGAATTTCTGCAACATCAGGGGACTTCACTCTAACCTAAACCTCTCGCCAAAGCCATCACTACCATCTCTGCACAGGGCGGACGACTCACTGGCCCAAGACGCAAAAGACAAAGCCGACCTTTTAGGCTCCCTTTTTGCGTCCAACTCGACTCTTGATGACGGGGGGAAAACACCGCCGACCATCCCGCGATGTGAGTGCTCCATGCCGGATGTGCTGTTCTCACAGCGCTTGGTTCGCAAAGCACTTCTCTCCCTGGACATCCAGAAGTCGAGTGGGCCTGACGGAATCCCCCCAATTGTGCTGAGGACGTGTGCTCCGGAGTTGGCACCGGTCCTAACGCGTCTTTTCCGGTACTCCTACTACCAAGGCGTAGTCCCGAATTCATGGAAGACAGCTTTTGTCCACCCGATCCCTAAAAAAGGCGACCGCTCAGACCCGTCCAACTATAGGCCTATCGCGATCACCTCCTCGTTCTCCAAAATAATGGAATCAATTATTAACTGCCAGCTCATGCGGTACCTTGAAGATCACCAGCTGATTAGTGACCGCCAGTACGGTTTTCGTCGGGGTCGATCAGCTGGTGATCTTCTGGTCTACCTGACCCATAGATGGGCGGAGGCAGTAGAGTCCAAGGGGGAGGCGTTGGCCGTTAGTTTGGACATTGCGAAGGCCTTCGATCGGGTTTGGCACAAAGCGCTTCTTTCGAAGCTCCCTTCCTATGGGCTTCCCGAGAAATTGTGCGATTGGATCACCAGCTTCCTTGCAGATCAGAGCATCAAGGTCGTTGTAGACGGTGCATGCTCCGACTACAAGCCTATTAACCCTGGTGTTCCACAAGGCTGTGTGCTATCACCAACGCTGTTTCTTCTGCATATTGTAACGAACCCCCCCCCCCCCATCTTTTTTCTTTTCTACTATATATCCACTTATACTTGTATTTCTTTAGAATCTATATCTGTAAGATATATAAATATCTCTAATTTACGTGACCAGTATAACTTGATCTTTCTAAAGGTTTAAATATAGGCCGTTTAATAAATTTATGGCGTGATCGTCTTAGTTAGGACCCTTTTTTACGTTGCGTTTGTATAGTAACTTAGTTCTTTTAGGTGTATCTTGGAAGAATGAATATTCACGAGAGCAATCGAAAGCTGTTGGTAGAGTCTTATAAGCTAAAGAACCCCGTTCACGAAGACAGAGCTCAAAAAGGTTAAGAACAATAAATTGTCCCTATTCCACATGTATCTGGTTCACAACAGTCAATTCCTTATTAATTAATCCCTTCCCGCTTGGAAAAGGCTCACAATATTTATATCAAATACCAGTTACAAGGGCTTCGCTCTCCCACATTTTAAAAAAAAATGTGGAGGAGGTACATGGCCCCACACACGCCGCGCACGGTGAGCGCCAACCATTTTAATGCGCTCCCCCGAAGGGTACGCAAAGTTGGGAACTGGACCGTAGTCCACAGCAAAATAACTGGCGAACCAGTAAAAGAGGACTTGGCCCCTTGATAGTGCGTAAGCACAAACATCGACCGAAGTCGCACATGTCAATGCGTGTAAACGCCATACAGAATACGATCAAATCCAGCCACAGTGAAATGTACGTCACACGGGTTAGGCAACAATCGGCACACTGACCATAAAAAGCCCTCCGTGAGCGCCACCGCCTGCCAGACCGCCGTTTCTGCAGACGTGATGTAAGTGTAAGGCATCACCACCAATTGCATGGTCAGCACGGTCAATTGGCCGCAGAGCGTGTCATGAGTCTACCGCTCACCTCAAGGGAATGGGGTCCCACGTTGCGCGGCTTTCGGCCGCAGCCTTGAGAGCCTCTTCAGATTCTCCCTCCAGCTACCACCCGCATGAGGTCGACACATATGCTCCACCAACCAATACAATGGCAGATATAGCCAATAGGCAGTTATAAGATAATAGTAATAATTCGCCATCAGAAAGGGTTTGTGTCACTGACGTTGAGTATATGCATTTTTCGATCATGTTTGTCTCACCCACCAACAAGTTGCCTTCAATCTCTCAAAGGTGGGAACTTTATAGAGATATATTATTAAGTTGTTATATAAAACATCATGGAGGGCAGACAGTCTGCAGCCCCGCAATGAAGGGACCCGACTTGGGCAAAGCTACTTAGGTTGTGAGTCAAACCAAGACGCAGAGAGCGCCATTGAGAATAACGACCCGCCAAACAACCATCGTAGAGACGCAATGCTACAGAATGCAACAAGCATCAATACGACTATCGTCGGACTTACACCATCCCAAGGTCCCCCATACAGTCCCAGCAGACATCACCACCCGCATACCTCCATCGACCAGAACCACAAGATGCATCGAATCAGGTGCAGCACACCCGCAGATCCATCACAAGACACAATACTGCAAGTAGCAGTAAGCGTCAATGCAACTATCATACGGATGGCGCCCCCTCACAACACACCCACATGATCCCTATCGACTTTGGTAACAAAATTTGATAATGTTGTTAACTAAAAATACCACCAACGTATCATAGTAGTACGGTACTAAGACGTCAGTAGCCAAAACTCCACGTATCATAGCGCTATTGCACTAAGACATGAAGTTCAGTATGCTTCTTGCACTTAAAAGTACTACCAAACACACTCACCCTAATCCGAAAGATAGCCGACGTATCATAACGCTATGCGCTAAGACGCCGCCCACAACCGGTAGGGGTGTGCGATGTCCACGGGCAAGTCGTATTGCTACAACAAACCCGCTTACCACCGGCACTAAGATGATATGTCTAGGACACATCGGTTAGTGAGTCCAAGTTTACCTCGGTCTCAGAGGCTGCGAAGCAACCTACACGCCACTATAATAATCCTTTTCAAGTCCCATTTCTTTCAATATAATGCTTTTACATATTTGAGACCTTCCACATATTTGCTTTATTTCATAGACCATACTACTGTATGTCTTATTCATATGGGACTTCAAGTCATAACTCTGCTATCATAATGCTTATGCATCATAGAGACCTTCTATATTAATGCTTTGGTTCGTCAGACCTTACTATGTTAAGTCCCTAATATAGGACTAGTTATTGTGCAACCTTAGTACTAGCAGTCGGTCAGCCGACCACCCCATATATATGTACAACCTTGGGTATGTGTCTCCGACAACGCCCCAATATAAGGGAACATTACAAGAACACGTTCATCAACTTAGAAATTTTCCAATTATTACAAGAACACCTTCATCAACTTAGAAAAATTTTAATCCATTTTTTCTATTATATTACAAATGTTATTTATCTTTGTTATTGCAATATAATCGCCTTGTATTTATATGATTTGATACGAGTCAACGGTCGAGAATTTACAGTATTTTCGGCTTCAGTTAGAAGCGTTGCCAGCGTTTCTTCTCGTGGGCTCTTCTGATGGAGAGTGGCTTCGAGCGCGTTCTTCACTGAGCGCACGAGACGCTCCCATGCGCCTCCCTGGTTAGGCGCGCCCGGTGCGATGAACTTCCAATCGACGCGCCGAGTCAGCGCGTAATCCTTCAACTGTGGCGCCCACTCTTCCATTGCCCGTCGTAATTCTGTATTTGCCCCGTGAAAATTAGTCCCATTATCCGAATAAATAACCCGTGGCCACCCACGCCTAGCCGCCATGCGCCGCAATGCCGATATCGCCGAGTCCGCGGTCAGAGAATAGACTATCTCTAGATGTACTGCGCGCGTCGTTAGGCACGTGAACAGTGCCACCCACCGTTTTTCGTGCCGTCGTCCTATCGTAACCGTCAGAGGCCCGAAATAATCAATCCCGGTGTTCGTAAATGGTCGCGCAAACGCCCCTAACCGTTCAGGTGGTAGGTCTCCTGTAACCGCAGGTCGTGGTGTCGCCTTCCGTATTCTGCATCGTAGGCATCTCCGCTCCGCTTCCCGTACTGTAGGTCGTAATCGGAGGATATGATACCTAGTGCGCAGGTCGTTCACCACCCTCTCCCTATTGGCGTGGCTTGCTTCCTGATGCGCCTTCTCCACAAGCAGCTTCACAAATTGGTGACGTCCATTCAGGATAATGGGTCTCTTCATTTGACCGTCCACGTCGGCTGCGTCGATCCTTCCCCTGGCTCGTAGCACTCCATCCTCCAATATGGGGTCGAGCTTTCTTAGTGCGCTGCCGGTGGTCAAATTCTTTCCCCGCTGAAGGCGGCTGATGTCTTCAGCGAAGCTTTCCTGCTGGCTGTGTTGTATCTACATCCGTTCTGCTCTCTGGATGTGCTGTAAGGTCAGTCCTCGTGCTCTTCCTCGTGCCGCATCGAGGAGTTGTAGTACTCTTGCAGTGGCCCTGATTAACTTCTCGTAGGCAGAGAATCTCCCTATGTCTGGCAGGTGTGGAGCTTCCTGGGTGTCGCTCTGGTGCGCCACGATTTCCTCCAACTCTTCATCATTCCCCGCCTTCTCTTCCTGTCGGTGAGGCCATCTGTCTTCATGCTCGTAGAGGATGGGTGGTCCGGTAAACCACTTGTCGCTCTCTTCCTTAGTTGTGAAATTCGTCCGCGTTGC